TTATAATTATAACTTTCTTTTTTTTGCGAATCCTTAATGATTTTTAAAAATGGTATTTTGTAATTATTATAATTAATTTTTTTCAATTAAAAATACTTTACAAGTTTTTTGAACTACATATTTAATGAATATAATTAATTTTTTTCAATTAAAAATACTTTACAAGTTTTTTGAACTACATATTTAATGAATATAATTAATTTTTTTCAATTAAAAATACTTTACAAGTTTTTTGAACTACATATTTAATGAATATAATTAATTTTTTTCAATTAAAAATACTTTACAAGTTTTTTGAACTACATATTTAATGAATATAATTAATTTTTTCTTCAGAAGTTCCGCATAATTTTTAAATCACACTTATTTATAAGTATTTTTTAAAATAAATGTGATCTTTTTTCTTCAGTGGAAAAAATTTTTTTTCATATTAAAAAATATTTTTTAAAATAAATGTGATCTTTTTTCTTCAGTGGGCTTCGCCCCCCCCAACCCCCCCACCACCGGGGGCTTCGCCCCCTGCACCCCCTTTTCTCGTGGGGGGCTTCGCCCCCCACACCCCCCCCCTCCGCCCCCAGACTTCATCACGCACTTATCATATAAAATAGTATACGCAACACGTGCGGACAGCAGGCGGTCTCCGTCGGGCGGCATAGCCGCCCTCGTGAGTAACCGCCTGCTTTCCGCACTAGTTGCGTAATGTACTATTTTTTAAATCCCAACCATTCAAAAAATTTTCATATGTCTTCAATTGATAGACGGAGTTAGCTTCTTCATCTTGATAAAAATTTGAAATTATCAACCCGAGTTGCAAGTGGTTGATTATACGTAAAATAAAAATACAGCTGTTAGCATGAGGTTATATGGGGCTGGAGAGTGTCAAATATCTGCATCATCTGCCCGGATACCCCAATTTTTTCCTTGACCATTGGATTCAGTACATTTTTGCATCCGACTGGAAGCTTTGTAATCGTTCAACTTTAACCCTTAAGTGGTCGCATCGTGGGGGAATCCCCGCTAAAACATGCAACCTATAAGGTGTTTTTAATCAAGGTGAAAAATTATGAGAACAGTTGCTTATCAAGTTACACAATACCGTCATGAGCGTTTAATATCAAAATCTCTATCTCTATTAAACTCAGGTACCACTCTATTATGTTGAATCCTTATTCATATTGATTCATGGTCCCGACTAACTTCTCACAGAACCTGGATTAAATTCTGGCTAAATCCTAAATAAACCTTGATTAAATCCCAGCTATACACTGATTAAACCTTGATTGCACCTTGATTAAACCCGGGCAGAAAACGAATTGGAGTCTTGAAAGGGTCTGAATGTAGAATTATTTGACAGAACAAAATAGCATGAAAAATTTTGATGACATTTTAATTGATGATAGTATTACATGAAAAAATAGAAGAATAGAATATTGAAATAAAAATTAAAAAAAGAAAACCCATTCGGAAGCAAATTCCTAATTTATTAGCAACAATAACTATACTCATTTTTTTAAATGCAATCGTCCACTTGTTTCACACGGAGAGAAATATTCAATAAAAATTACGTATCTTTTCCGTAATTCCGGAGCGAAATATGGTTATAGGAAATTTTACGGAGCCGTCACGGAATTTTTCCAGCGTTTCGAAATTTTTATCTAAATCGCCTGTGAAAAATTACGATACCGTCACTTGAATTTTCAGAATCGATTCCGTAATCGGTGAGTGAACCGTGAGTTCCGTAATTTTTACTGAACATTTCTCTACGTGCACATTGCCCTCTATTTTTTTTTTTGAATCCTTCCAGTCAGTCAATGTGTCAATTTGAAATTTATAATAAAGCCCCATATGGAATTACCACCCGAGCCGAAGACGAGGTTTCGTATATTGGTCCATTAGTCTGAAAAATTAAATTTGCCAAAATTCGATTTTCAGGAAAAAGGATAAACATCCTTAGTATTCCACAATTGAAAAAAAAATCCGGAAAGTGCCTCTTTCAAACTTCAAGCTATCCGTTAACAGTGATTTAGCAATTATTGACGCATTCTAAAACTTGGTGGCTCCAGAATCACATGAACGAATCTAAAATTCCTGAAAGGAGATGTAATTTCGTTATTGATTGTAGGCTAATGAATTGAGAAGATTTTACAAAAACGAAATCCAGTACTGAAATAGTATTTCCAAATCGCAATTGTTACCCCAGGAAACATTATAAAATGCATCATCTAACGTAAAGGAAAATCCTTTCGATCTGATGTCAATAATCCCACCTCTATTATTTCGCCTCACCCTTCCAATAACATGTTCCCTCCCCTCTTGAGAGCATCTCGGATACGACCCTCGTGTTCATCGAACGCAAAAACGACAGAAACAAATATCCCGCCAGGTTAACGAGTTCTATACGCACCGCTTCACCGCGGTGTCTTACGTAACCGCTGGTGGTATACATTCAGTGTCCATCTCTCATTCTCCCTCTCCCTCGCTCGTTCATATTATTCAACGAACCGTTAGAATCGCCGAGTTAGCTGGGTGAGACAAGAGCAAAGGAGAATGGGAAATATGAAATCCGATAGGGACTGTCGATAGCCGATATCGTCACGATAGACCAAACACACGATGAATTGTATAGAATTGCACTTATGCGGGAGCTTAAATCCATGGTTATTATACGAGGCATTCACACGCTTACTATTATGGTCGTTGTTCTACTGTGTCCATTGTTGTCCAATAGCAATCGAGTCCATGCCTATATTGGATTATTGATTGCTGCAGTGAATTTAGCAAGGAAACTAATTTGATGGTTTTTTTTCTACTTCAGCTCAAATACAAGAGACGGGTCTACAAGATGCTTCACCTCGATGAGAAGCAGCTCAAGGCGATGCATACGAGGACGAACCTCAGGAGGTTGCTGGAGTATGTTGCTAATAGTCAAGTCGAAAAAATAGCCAAAATGTGTAGCAAGGGGCTGGATCCTAACTTTCATTGCCAGGAAACGGGAGGTAATAATGGTCAACGTTTTTTTATAATCACTAGGAAGGTCGCGCTCTTCGCGCGCGTTCGTTAGGTTGCGTGGAATAAGTCATTCATTCAATGATGAAACTCAGTAGATGGAGACACGGCCGCTACACCGTACCTACCGCCCGCAATTTTTATGCGAGCGAGGTGTTCCTAAGCGGTCACCCATCCAAGTACTAATCCAGCTCAACGCTGCTTAGCTTGGATGTCCGCCGGAGCAACACCTCACATATGGGGTATCATAATATGGGGTATTCAAATTGACATATGATATACCCCGCTGGTCAAGTCTAAAGCCTCGATCAATGGCAAAAACAGTCATTTTTGGTGTGTGACATAACGTGAGAAATGGAAACAATGTGTTATAACTCGATAAAAAGTACATTGAATCAGAATTATCATGCATCATTTTGAAACACGGTAAATGCTCTTCAAGATGATATATAGATACCCCAGTCTAATCCACTTAGGAGCATCGAAAAATCCAGTCAAAATTAATTTTTCACGTTAAATATGAAATTGCAATTTTCGCCTAAAACTGATAAGTCAAAGAAAAATTGTCAGGATTGGGTAAATCAGGTGTCATTTTGACCTCCCTTCTTTAATGTAAAAATGAATACCGTAAGATGGACGGCGGAGCTCAGTATGTACCAGACATTTAAAATGAAGAAATGGCTAGGAGCCGGATAGCTTAGTTGGGAGAGCACCCGAAGTATAATCGGAAGTCCCGGGTTCAAATCCCGGTCTGGACTATCCATTTTTCAGTAAAAATTTTCTGGTTATTCATATTGAGAATAATCCTGGTTGCCCCCCTCCTACCTCATCCAAATCCCATCCACTCATTTCCTATGACGTCACAATGATGTGCAACGTTATATAAATTCCCTTCTTTAATGTTTTGTGGGGGGTTTTGTTTTCATGAAAAAAGAAGGACTTGCGCATAGAAACTAATGGAAAAACCTTGGTTACGAACATGGATTATTCTATAGGAGGGAAGAGGAAGAAATATCCGACTTTAATCCACCATTATTGTCAATAGCACACTGAGAAAAAAAATTCCAATATCTGAAACGTAGTTTCTTGAGACAAGTTATTTTTTCTTGAATTGTTTAATTCTCCCAGACATCTCAACTCACATGGTCCGAGAAAGGTCTCATGCTTTAAAATATTCTTGTACTCATTTTGTCGCAAATGGACTCACTCAAATCAGGTAGAAGCATCGTCAATCTCCACGTATTTATCGTTTTCATAATTTTTTTGTTATGCAGGTCGAATATTTCGATATGTAATATGTTGATGATATAATGTGCAACGATAGTGATAAATGAGAATCCATTTGAGTTTCGTGAACCGCAAACATTCTGAGAATCAAACCATTAAAAATAATTCACTTCTCTCAAGTAAATATGGCCTAAGTATTAGGACATTTTTCTCTCAGTGCAGTGGATGGTTTCAAAATGTGCAGATGCAATTTTCGCAAACGCAAGTTTAATGAACATTCATATCAAATGAAGCTATAAAATCACATAAATGTTCATTTTTTTCCTGAAACTATCCCATTACCTATCGATAATTTCACCTCAATCATCATTCAATAAGAAATCTTTCAAAAGTGCTTCTGGAAACCAGAAATTACCGGAAATCGCTAATTTTCTTGAAGTATAATTATCCAACATGAGCACACGTTGGCGCCTGTTCCCGCCAACAGGTTTCATCGAAAACTTCATATGATGATACATAATAATGTGTTTTACTGTTATTGAAGGAAATATTTGGTGCTGTACGTGAGAAGTATGTTTTTCTCAATTAAACGCACGGGAAAATTTTCTTGTTCCCCACTAAAATCTCACATATGGATTGCATAGATTGGATTCTAGTAAAAATTCGGTAAATGCTTGTTCAGGAGAACATTTAACATTAAACATGTGTTAATTTAAACATAAAATATGGCAAAAAAAATCTAGTTCCACTACAAAGAGTGCCAGAAATGAAACTTTGCTGGCAAAACGGAGAGAAATATAGAATTGTTTTGATGAGAAAATTACGATAATTCGACTCTCGTCTTTCTGTAATTCAATTATTCTGAAAAAATGTCAAGAAACTAATGGAGTTAAAGGTTGTCAGATCCCTCTACTATCCTGACTTTTTTAAACTGGTATCGTATGAAGAATTTAGAAATCTTAAGAACCCAACGGTTCTTGATTTGAGAACTTATCTCACTTAAGGATATCTAAGTACTTTGGTTGATTTTTCTCCAGTGAAATTTTTTTACAATTAGTTTTTACAGAAATTGGGCAGTACGTGTAAAAAATATGTGTTTTACCAAGTTTTATGACCGATGCGTTAAATTTTTTTTATTCATTGTAACAAGTGCCCATTCATGAATATTCATGATTTTTTTCAAATTTTTCTCAGGCAATTTAATTGACAAATTTGATGATTGAAAATGGTTGAATCTATAGTGTGGTTTGTACCAAACTGTAAGAGATACTTGAATATTCTTAAAATAAGTGAATTTTTAGGACTGAAGGTTAGGAATTTTTCTCCTGAAATTTTTAACCAGCTTTTTATTCTCAGTACAATGTCTCTTAGAACTATGAGTTTTTCAAAATCAGTAACTTGGTTCTGGAGATTAGAAACCTTTTCTGTCAATACAATTGGGCTCATTAATAATGAAACTTAATCTATAATTTTCAGAAACACCATTGACCCTAGCAACAGCACTGAAAAAACCCTCAAAAGTGATAATAGCCCTGGTTAACGGTGGTGCACTATTGGACTATCGAACAAAGGAGGGTCTCACGGCAATGCACCGCGCCGTTGAGAGGAACAGCCTCGAGGCCGTGAAGACCCTACTTGAGCTCGGTGCAAGTCCAAATTACAAAGACACCAAAGGTCTAACACCCCTCTACTACAGTGTCATTTATAAGACAGATCCAATGCTCTGTGAAACATTACTCCACGATCATGCGACAATTGGTGCTCAGGATCTTCAGGGATGGCAGGAGGTTCATCAGGCATGCCGTAACAGTCTCGTACAACACCTTGATCATCTTCTCTTTTACGGTGCCGACATGAACGCTCGCAATGCATCAGGAAATACACCGCTTCATGTGTGCGCTGTCAATAACACTGATGCATCTTGCATACGCCAGTTACTGTTCCGGGGAGCTCAAAAGGACAGCTTGAATTATGCGAATCAAACCCCCTACCAGGTTGCTGTAATTGCTGGTAACATGGAGCTAGCGGAAGTTATCAAGAATTATCAGCCTGAAGAAGTTGGTGAGTGATGAAACTTAAATACGGACTAATGACCAAGAAGTTGTTATGTAGAGAACGATTGAAATTCTGTTATGCTTTGGCTTTGGATGTTCTGTAGAATGATATTTGTAGCGATTAATTATGGACGATTGGATAATATTGGGGGATGGAGAACGGTGATTTTGGGCTAAAGTGTGAAACGTATGGGACTTTGTTGTGATTGTAGACAGAACTGATTATGATCGGGATGATCTAATTTCTCAGAGAAAAATCATTGATGTTGGGGTTGAAGATTCCTTATTTTAAAAACTGGTATTAGGAGGGTCTGGTACGATTGAACCAAAAACTATTCGTCTATTGACTATTGGTACAATTACTATTGGTCTAAAGCGAATTCGTCCAGTAGTACAATTTATCCAATAATAAATGAGTCCGACAGCACAATTTGGACAAACAGGCGTATTTATGATAAATTTAAAAAACAGACAAAAAAACCATCATCATAATACTAAGTCAACACTCAAATACAACCACACATCGTACAAATGTAAACATCCTAACGAAAACAGAATAGTAAGATTATCTCCTCAAGACGACAAGAATGAATGAAAATCCGAAATTCAATCTGATCGACCGGAAACACAATTGAAATAAAAATATCAATTACTTCCCCATTTGTTCATGTGATTTCGAAAATTTAAAATTCTTTCGGAAAATACATGATTTCAGGAAACTTTGGACGAATAAACTTTTGGACGATTTAATTTTAGATCAATCCTACCGTAAGACGACTTCATTTTGGATAAGAATCATTATTGGTCAAATCTATTTCAGATTAATACTACTATTAGACTTAGAATTTGTTGACTTAGAATTATGAGGTTATTTTTTTTCTGTTATTTTTTAATTATTGTGAAGACGGCTGTTTGTCCGAATTGTGCTATTGGACTCATTTATTATTGGACGAATTAGGGCAGAGTCGGGCAAAATGGGACGGTTCGTTAGCTTCTCTAATTGTCTATATCTTCATTTATAAATAGATTTACAATTGGAAATGGATTTGCAATTGGAAACGATCTCAACACGCTCCATTTTGCCCGACCCTCCCCTATATTTTTGGATTAATTTATTATTGAATGAATTGTACTATTGAACCAATTTGCTTTAGACCAAAAGTAATTGGGCCGAAAGTAATGGGACCATTCGTACGGGTCCCATATTAGGATAGAGCCGATTCATTTTACAATGATATATTGTTATTCTGGTTCATCTCCATGTGCCATTCTACTATAGAATTTTTATCTTCAGTAACGCAGGAAAATAGCCTTTCAATTTTATAATTAACTAGATTATCTAAAAATTCCTATTTTTTCTAAATAAAACATGAAATCATTTTCCAAACCAATTCATTTTCCGTTTTTCAAAAATGACTAACATGATGAGAGACATAAACGTTCAAGTACAGTTAAAATATTATTCCTGAATTTCCAGTTTTTATTCCAATCTTTTATGTGTATCCTAACTGTTGAGAATAATAGCTCAAGGTCTGGTAGAAAAAGATTCAAACGTCACTGGAATGCACTGTCAGAAATAAAGTAAAATTTCGCCGGCTGTTTCGGAGTAATTTCCAGCAGAGTGATATTGAATTCGACTTAGAGGGAAAAATGATAAAATTCCAAATTTCAGTGAAAGCTCAATGAAATTCCAGCTCTTTAGATAATAGGAACACGAAAATTCTCTCATTTATTTGAATTTTCCAGAAAAAAATGAATACCAAATGGATTATAATCTAAAATAATCTAAAATATATCACAATTTCCACTGGATTTTACATCTCATAGGTATCCCTAAAAATTATGACTGCACAATCAAAAAAAGTAGAAAAAAAACTGAAGAGAAAGAAACTGATTTTCAGTAAAGATTAGGAAATAAGTCCGACAGAGAGGAAATTGCAACTGGATAATTTATGTATCATAGTAACTAACGATCTGACGGGCATTGGCTACTGAAACAAATGACGACTGAACAGCCCTTAGATACTGTAAATTATTAATTGGCAATTTCCATCCAATTGGATTTATTTTCCAATATTATTCAAAAACGCTCTTTGAAAATGTTCAGTTTTTTTTTAACGTTTTTTTGATTGTACAATCATAATTTTTTAAGACTCCAGGGCTATGTAAAACTGAATGGCAATTGAAGAACATTTCAAATTATCAAAATAAAAAAAATCAACCAACATCACATTCGAAAGATAATACACGCCGGCCTTAATTAGAAATTCCGGAATATATTTACCTGAATTTTCTTGATTTCTATTCATTTTCATAGAATATTGTCAATTTTCCAGTTAATGCCACGAGAAGCTTTCGGCATCTTTGATGGGGGTCAGATAATTATATTTTTTCATAATTCATCAAATGAACATACCCAGTGCATGGGTAATACTCTTTTCCATCAGTTGGGTTTGATATTTCCTCAAATTATGAAATACATTAATATTTGAAAAAAACCTCCGCATGTGTCAGTTTCTGCCACTTGGAAAGGCCATATTTCAGTTATTGCCAACATTCGGTGGTAGTTAATGCCAGATGGAATATATGTATCCTCCCATTATTATAAATATCCAGTGTCAAAGATTCTGATAGGATTCGTTTGCTTTAAAATACTACTGGCGGAAATAGGGAGATGGATAATTTGGGGGGGGGAGGGGGGGGGGGGTCCA